CTCTTTCCCTCCTTCCCTCTCTCCCTCCTCCCCTCCCTCCCTCCCTTTCCCCTCCCTCCCTCCCTTCCCCCTTCCTTCCTTCCTTCCTTCTTTCCTTCCTTCCTTCCTTCCTTCCTTCCTTCCTTCCTTCCTCCTTCCCTCCCTTTCTCCTTCCCTTTCTCCTTCCCTCCCTCTGTCTCTTTCTGTTTCTTTCTCCTTTTATCTCCTTTCTCTTCACAACCCATGCCCTCCCCTATCCCCAACCCCTCTTAACTTTCTCTTCAGGACTACTATAAGTATTTCCTGAGAAGGTTCCAGTAAAAGTAATTTACTTCAAATTTACTATAAATGTAAGCTGTTAAGAGAGTAATTGCTGAACTCTTTTTACTTCATCCCAAAGCCTGTCTCTATGTTATCTCAGTTGAAAAGCTAGTAAACGCTACTCTGGATGGTCAGGATACCTACAGAGCCATCCTCAACTCTAAGAACCAGGAAGAGGGAGGAGTTAGATTAGCTATCCTTCATGAACCTAGTGTGTTTATAGAATAATGATTGGCATTATAGGATGAGCTGTAATATATACTTTTTTATCACTGATTTGAACAAACGGTTACATAAGCAGAGAGAGCACTGAGCTCCGTGTTTGGGGAAGTACAACATAAATACTTTGAACATGGGAGACTTCCCCAGGACTCCAGCAGACATTTAACTAAGCACAAGTTGCCTTGGGGACAGGCTGATAGAAATTCAGTAGAAGTTTTAGGAGAGCCCAGAGGAGGGAGCCCTTCATGGGCCTGTGTGCCTAGTTAAACTTCTCTAAGCAGGTGACTGAATTGACCCTTGGAAGTTCTTGCCCTTGATACTTCCTAATCTTGGCAGGAAGACATAAACAGGACATTGAGAACAATGCATGAGCCTATCTGGAGGGTTCGACAAGAAGACAATACTGGCTTAGAAATTCCAAGATGAGAATAATTTACCGTCTGGGAGTCAAAAGATAGTGTCCTGGCTGTAGAGGAAAGCTGAAAGAGAAGCCCACTGGCCATTAAATTTAAATCTTTACCTGAGCAGCTGCTACTCTGTCACACAATCCTCCATGCTAGCACCATGGTTTGGCCACTAAGACTCAGAAAAACTAACAACTTGCTGAAGATCATAGGAACCCACATCATGGTGACTCTGAAATCAGTATGTTGGGCCACAATTTACCCATTCAAGCACACCTATGTCTCTAAGGTGTTACTCCGATGTTACCCTAACTTCCATAGAACTTTGTAGCCTTCTGAACTACAGATAGAACTTTCAGTTACTTCCAGATAAGATGCCTGTTGGGAGTATATGTCCCAAGGATTAAAAGTACAGAGGAAGAAGGCGTTTGGTACCAAAAGTTTCCTCAGAAACTTAAGGGAGGCCCTGAGACGGGAACCCGGGACTGGGTAGCTATGCCGAGACTGAATGGGATCTATTATCCTCATTACTATAGTGTTACTAGAGTACTAGCATAGCTATCATGTGGGAAGTTTCTGGTACTTAAAAGGGGAGAGATGGAAAGATAAAAATGAGAAAAAATCCACAAGAGACCACATGATTAATTTAACAGGAGAGAGCAGTACAGGATAAATCATTATTTTATATGTAAGCCAAGTCCGAGGCCATGGTAAGCCGTTGGTTTGAATGGCCTATGGTCCACAGTGTGCGATTCATTCATGAGACTTCAGCACAAAAACAAGCAAATCCCTATGTGTGTAAAGTGTAAGAGCAGCCCACAAGACAGGTGAGGGACAATGGTAGTTATGTGGCTAAATTTTTATTTTACTTATTTGCTGGGGGTGGTAGATTTCATGGTTTATATGTGGCAGATAAAACACAAGAGTTGCAAGAGTTGGATCTTTTTCTTTCACCACGTGGATCCGAGGAATTGAACTCAGGTTAGCAGACTTGGCTTTTACCCACTGTACAATCTTACAAGCCAGTAATTATACTTTTGGTAATATGTCAGTAAAAGGCTTTCCCAAGCATTCCCAATTCATTTAGGGATTGGGGATCAAAGAGCAAAACAACCTATAATATCTATTCTTTCCTTTCCTTCGCTTTCACAGAAGAAGATGTTTTTATTTAAGGACCCAAGGAGCACTTTGACCTTTGATGGGAACGGCTGCATACATGGTGCTCATAGACAAATTCTACAGTTCAGGAAGTTTTGTACTCAGAATAAGCTGTGAAAGTGTATATTCTCATTTATAAAGGTAGCAGAATGGAAGATGACAGTGAAATAGTTCACAGGAAGACATGTGTGTATATGTTAGAAGTTGATGTGTCTCCTATTTTATTCCTGGTTGGAAAGTGGATGAAATTCTAAATATCTACAAATGTTAAAACTGTTGTACACAATGGCTTAAAGACCCCTGGAAATATAGTCTCCAAATACCTAATTGTCATAACTGAAGTGAGCAATAACCATGTTCCAGATATCACTGGGGGAGGGAGTTACTGAATGACAGTGTTTATGCCATTCATCCTCCATCTTTTTCCTTCTTTGAGGACAACCACCTAGCTTGTATAGGTGTTGTAGACAGTGAGAGGGAATGTTTCTACACATGGCATTGTGCACCCTAATATTTTTTCCTTTCCATCAGGTCTCTAAAGAATGGAGGATGGAGGGTAAACATCACTTTATAAGTAGAGCACCTGAGTTCCAGAACTCTATATAGCCTGACTCTATATAGCAAGTTCTTCCCTTGCCAGGAGGATCCCAATCTGGGAGAGCTGGTTTGCAGAACAGTGCCATGATCCCTGAGTACCACATTCAGCTTTTATGGACGGGAGATCTGAGTCATTGGACATCTTACAAATCTTTATCCATTTACCAGGGAATATTCTCCAGTGGTTCTCTCCCTCCCTGGAGCATGCAGCAAAGATCCTAACTCTGAGGAAGGATCTGGAACAGCCCTGAGGATGTGAACACCACGGGAGAGCAAGTCACTAATTAGTAGCATCCACTTCACCTCAGTTTTCCACCATAAATTCTACCTGGAATGACATCTTTTTATAGTGATACTATTTGTACAGACTCGCAAAGAACTAAATTTCCAAACCACCATGGCTAACACATTTTGACTTATTAAACGCTCGAGGGAAAGAGAACTGTTTTGCCATAAGGGGGAGCTTTTGAGTTCCATAAAGAGGGGGAAAAGAAAAAAAAATATATATATATAAAATACATGTTCCAGTTCAAAATGTAGAGCCATAAGCAGCAGACTGCTACCTGCTTACCTGTGCTGGCGCCGCATTAGAAGACTTGGATTGTTTTTTTAGGCAGAAATTGAGTAAATTCATATTTTCCTTCCATTTATATTCAACCAAAAGTATGTCTAACCACCAACTGAATGCTTTAGGATTATTTAGGGGCAATGATGGGGGACATAGCACTGGTCCAAAATATCTCCAAGGGAGATGCCCTGGAAACATTTCTCCTCTGATGTTCTGTTCAATCTACAAGGATTCGAGAAAGGAGTTTGATAAGCTGAAGCCTGGAGGTTAGCATTGGGGGATCAGGGAAGAGAGAAACAACATACTATAACTTTAAGAAAATTTGGTGAGGGGGAAGGAGAAAGGTAAAAGAAACAGAGAACAGCGCGAGGAAGAGGAAACTGGGAGAGGGGGATGAAGGAAGGGGGACAGAGAAAAAGAAGAAAAGTGGGAGAAGGAGAACGGGGAGGGGGGGAGAAGATGAAAAAGAATCTGAGAATCAAGTTTCAATGCTTTATGTGTTGTGGAAAAGGGAGACATGTAACAGCAAAGGGCAAATGAGACCCTGAAAGACAAATTTCTCTCTCCCGCCAGGAGGCAAAATAAAAATAAAAATAAGGGGCGGGGGTAAAGGGAGCAAAGCAAAGCAAAACAAACCAGAACGTGTGTTTTCAGCCGGAATGGGAAGAGCAGGGAGGACCGTAAGGGGGTGTGTACAGAATTTCATTAAATTGTTACTTTAAGATTGTCTTCTTTAAAAAAAAAAGAAGTAGAAGAAAGAGGGGGTGGAGAAGCTGAAGCGAAGGAAAGGAGACAAACGGCAAAGTAGAGGAAGGCTGGGTGGATCGGCCTCTCCAAACCGATTGATTGGTCATGATCCCCGCAGTTTGAACAGGGACTCATTCAATTGGGAAGGTGGAGTGCTGGCGAACAGATTAGCACACGCTTGTTTACTCATCTTCTAAGGGATTTTTCCCCCTCTTTCCTTTCATTTCGTGAAGAAGGAGGGAGGGGAGGGGCGGGGGGGGGGGAAAGGGGCGGTGGCTCGTGTCATAAACCCCGCACAAAACAACTACCCCCCCCCCACTTGGGGGGCGGGAGGGAATTGAGCCGATCAGTGTGTTAGAGGAGATTTTTTTATGAAGAGCTAGAAATATATAAAATAAAATGAAATAAAACAAGGAGAAAGGCATCCAGCTGTTAGAAGGGGGGAATAAGGCAGATAAAGGAGCGAGGAGAGAAATTAATTGCCAACCAGGAGGAGTTGGACTGTATTTTTGAAAGGTGGGGGGAGTGGAGCACACACCTTGAAGAGGAAAGCGAGAAAGAAAAGAAAAAAGCAAGTGGAAGGGGGGCTCGCACGAGA